ATATATATATATATATATATATATATATATATATATATATATATATGAATATATATATATATATATATATATATATATATATTATTATATATATATATATATATATATATATATATATATATATATATATATATATATATATATATATAGTCGTTGACAACATTACACCACATATATGAAATATAGAATACATCATACATATAAAGAAATGGCAACTATTTGCGAAGTTAGAACGCGACGTTTTTTATAGGGTTTTCCTAAAACCCTAAAAACTTTTTTTTGGCCTTCTGATGACCCCGCTGTGGTATATGACAAAATGAGACCTCCAGCCTCCAGGCATAAATATGAGAAAAGTGGAAGTCGATTTTTTGAGATTTCGACCGGAATAATTAAATATTGTAAACATATAGATATTATTATTTATTCATTTAAAAAACAAAAAAAACAAAACAAAAACACGCCTTCGCCCTTCAGACTTCAGTGATTGTAAATATTGGGTTTTTTTTTGTTTGATTACAGAAGTGTAAATATATTTAATTTAGAGGGCTATGTCAGAACGCTATGATTGTTTTTTAAAAACAAAATGGGTTCTTTTAATATTTAAATATGGGTTTGTTGATTCGGTTGTTTTGTTTCAATTTTGTTTTTGGCATAATAAAACCTCCCAAAAAACCAAAAACTGATAAAAGAGGTTCTATTGGGTTTTTAGGAAAACAAAACAAAAAAAATTCAAGTTGTTGGTCCAAAAATTATATAAAAAGCTTTGGACCCTCTCCGAAGACTATACAGCAGCAGTAATTTAAAAAAAGAAGGTGCCTTTCATGATAACTTGGTGTCTTACTCGTCTATAGTAATAAGTATTTAAATTTTTTTTTAAATGTCACTTCGTTGTGCAGCGCGCACATATATCCTGATATATCCCAAAATTCGGTGCAGCATCGTGAGCTTTCGCATTGTCCCTAATCCCACTTGGTTGATAACGTGATATCGTACAATTTAACAACCACTTGGTTGATAACTTAATATATCGCACGATTTAGCACCCACTTGGCTGATAACTTGATATATCGCACAATTTAACACACACTAGGTTGATAACCTGATATATCACACAACTCGTAAAGTGACTACAATTTAAAAATCGACTGGCAGCAGCCCTCTGGAATACCAGTATGCATATGCGGACCACCAGGTCAAATGGTGTTGTAGACTCTCTCGCCATGGATGTCGCTTTGCAACAACAACGCCTGATGTCACCAACACGTGAAAATCGGGACAATCAAACTGGCCCGCGTGTAGATGAGGTCGTGGAGATGACACTAGTCGAAGGCAAAGACATTACGGTTGACAGTAAGTCAGTACATGTTGAATGTATAATCGGATAAAAATGTGTTTTACTTTAGCAGAGCCTTGTACTTGCTTTACATCCAAGATGATAACCACCGATGTGTTTTGCAGAGTGATAACAATAGTGTGATATCTACTTTTCTGAGCGGTGCATATAATTGGGGCGGGCAACACTAAGAATAAGCCGGTTCGCAATACTATATATCGACACCATCAATAGTTCAAATTAGGGCGCCTTCGTTCAGCAAGATATATATATATATATATATATATATA